CACTAAGATTTGTTTGGTACCATTTAGGTAGAAACTTTTCTTGAAAATGATTTTAGTAGTACAACATTGTATAACATAGAAAAAACAAACAAACAAATTAATTAATTTGATAAAAATTTCTTAGAATAAGTTCGTGTTCGATTTTGTTGGAAATCAGATTTTTGTAGCAGAATCCTTTACTTTCAAAATTGGAATTTTTAAATAAAAAATAGTGGTAAAAAAAGAAGAAGAAGAAGAAGCAACAGTAGCAAGTGTTGCACTAATACACACCCCTACGTATACATTTAAAAAAAATGAAAAAAAAAACTCTTGTTTGATTCCCATTCTTACAAGAATGATAATGAAAAATATAACCGTTACGAGATTCACAAAAGAGAGGACGAGTCAAATATGATAGCTGAATGTGATAGATAACGATCATATTTTTTATTTTTGTGACAAAAGAATGGGAAACAAATGGGGCGTAAGTGTACCCCCTCAATAGGCATGTCTAAAGACTATAATATCTTTGTTACTAGCGTGAGTGTATCAATAAAATTATGCGTCAAATTAAAAATTCAAAGAGGGACAAAATCTTCTTTGTTAAAAGCAGAAGCCCAAAGGTGATGAAATGTTATCTCTTTTGTGTCATAATTTGTGTGTCAGAATATTATAAAATGCAAATGGAACCCATATAGCTGCTAATGAAAAGCAATTCTTGGCCCAAAAAAAAAAAAAAAATAGAATTCGAGATTAGACAGAGTCACACAGCTAAGTTTAATTTGTTATCATTAAATCTTAACTAAACAATTTCCAAGCATAAAAATGGTTGATGGTGGAAACCACAGGGATCATATCAGTATTATAAAAAAATAGAGTGGTGAAGTAATATTTAGAAGTCGAAACTCCGACGAGACCACAAGTAACTCTGCGACTGTAAGAATGTCAAAAGATCTCAGAAGTTAGTTGAGAAGAGTTCAACATTAATGCATGTTTTAGCCTCCAATTGGCTGCCAAATGGTTTATAAATTAGTTTGATAGGATTAAAATAATGGTCAAAAAATTAATTTTTTTGGACGAAAAATTGCTTCCAAACGGGGCCAAATGAAATAACCAAAATAAACCTATTTTGGATAACTAAAAATTGATACATTCTTTATCTAGACTTTCTTCACTAATCCAAGACTCTCTGTTGGCACTGTAAGGGTGGCACAATGATGCAAACTCAAGTCGTTTCTAAAAACCTGGTTGAAAAGATTTTGCAAAAACGTGTTTTGTAGAATGCATCTTTATTTATGGAATGAAGGTCTGTTCTTCCTATTTGTCAACCCCACTTATCGTTGGATTGACTGACCTTCTGGTGACTTTCATTTAAGGCCTTTTGCTAGGGTTAAAAGTATTACACAGATCTCGATCTCTCTCTCTCTTTGGCTCTTGAGTATTTCGTCTCTTTCCTTTTCAAAACCAAAAATGGGCTTTCAATCTTTTTTGAGAGTCTCTCGATGAAAAACATTTCTAGAGTGAACTGTATGTCGAAAAATATTCTGACTTGTTCTTGAGTGAACATTTTGTAGTGATTGTAAGGTTGATTTCTTGTGATCTTGAGTGATTACTATCTGAGTGCACTGATCTGTATTCCTTGGTCTCTTTGGTTTTGTTTTTCACATTGTGGATACTGTGATAGAAGCTCGAAGGATTTTGGTTTATTGCCTTGGGGCAATCGTTTAATGTAATTCATTTTATTCAATTCTTGTTTCATTTTTGTTTACTCATATTTTTGTTGTATAAATTGCTTAATCATTTGAACCTCCTATTTATAGTCACCAATACTAAATTAGATTTTATAACACTTCTAAAATTTTACACCAATCTTTTAAACTCATATTGTATAGTCAAAATATTGGCACCTTCTCGTTAGGAATTGTTGTTACAGCTTTGGAAGGATAAAAAACACTCAATTGATGCATGTGCTTTACAAACAACATTCTCGCTCTAAATAATTATTTTTTTCCCCAAACTTGATCAAGATCTTTATTAAATAATTATATTCACGTTTTTTTTTTAAGCCTCCAACCCTCAAATTTTCATCTCTCTCTCTCTCTATATATATGTACAGCGGTACAAAACTGTTATATATATAGTCCGCTTTGCACATGTAGTCCATGAACTAATATAACTAAAGCAATTAAGTTGAAACTATTGAAGGGACTTAATTGGACTTATAATTTGTGCTACAATAATTATACCCAATCAAGCTAACTCGAGAGTGTCCAATATAATTATTAGTTTTTGCTTTCTATTATATTAAAAAAAATCACGGAAGGAATATAAATTATTTCCCTGCAATTTATATTATCTTGAACCTCGCTAGATGTTGAATAATTAAATCAGGACAAATGACTGTTTTGTCTTTCTAATTATTCTTGCATTTGTGGTTCACATTTTCTTAAATAGTTTCTTCATGATGCAATTATAGAAATTAAATTTGAGAATTCCTATATACTAAGTTCAGAATCAAAATATTCTCTAAAGAAATATATCCAAGTGGATCACTTACCTATAGAACAAGGTGATAGATTTCAAAGTGGATATGTGGTCACTATTTTAATCTCTAACATCTTCTTACACATCACGATTTTCATCGTTACTTAATGATCTCACCTACTGGCACATCAAAGAGCCATAAGTTCACATATAACAATCATTAATTTGTAACGAATTTAGATAATCATGAGACAATCACCCGTGATTGAGTTCTTTAGCACGTTTCACTATAATTTAATTAAAACTTTACTTGGTCCAGTCCAATTTACATTCAAGTGTCTTAGTGTCAATACTCTCAAATGGACAATCTCCACGATCAAGACAAACAGTGTACCCTAAGTGGTGGAGTAATTAACCCTTTGACCTACATAGAATACCAACCTTTATAAGTTGATTTAGAACAAATCCTTTTCGATCAACATGTAAGTTATATAGTTTGTACTTCTCTATAGCCAAACCATTGACCCCAGGAGTCATATTGGCTATTTTATGGGAAGTAGGCTCGACCTACTCGGGTATGTGTCCTTGAGTTTATCCTCGGGCATGTTTCATTGACCATTTGGGGACAAACAAAATAGACCTTGTCAACCTTTTCCTTGGGAAGGAAAAGAAAGAGATTGGGAATGCCAGACTAAGCAAAGAGAACATATTGAAAGGATTTGTAACTAGGGGGCTTTCTTTGGACAAGCGGGCTGGTATCACTAATTTAGAACCTGTGAACCCGACTATTGCAATTGCTCAGGATATCCTTTTTAGCTTCTAGAAGCCCAAAGAGAAAAGAAAGATAAGCATAGGCCTAGCTTAGAACCTAGCATGTAGAATGACTCAAAGGGGGATTAATCTCTTTACACCTTCCTGGAAAGATTCTTCAAACATGCATCCCCATGGTGGCACGATGTTCTGCGTAAATCCAGGCTGGAAGGACATCACACCAAATTCGTACTGAGAAGTCACTCACGTCCAAAATCAGAGGTTGTGCTTAGGACTTTCACATCTTCGGTAAATTCGATCTCGATCCTTTATTTTATGCAAGAAAACAAAAATATCCCATCTGTATGTGGCCCCCCACCCCCACCCCCCCACACACAAGGGCTCACTCAGCCCTAACTCCGGAAGCTAGACTAGCTTAAGGATTGGGCTTTGGGTATCCTCAGACTTATACCTTAACCTTTTTCTAACAACATAATTCAATATGACTCTTCTCTAAGGTAAGGCTTAACCAAATTTGATAAAGTTGAATCTTACTATATCTCTTTTGTCCTATCATGGTGAGACTCGACCACCAGAGCTTCATCCTCACCCAAACACTAGTTGCTTGAAACCTATCAAATAGCAACTCCTAGACATGGTAAGACTCCCTAGCACCCTATGACTCTTAAAATCATATAAGGGTGCTCAACTAGTTTAAACCTACTAAGAGCATACTACTCAAGTCTATAAATATAAGATCCAAATTCATTATTCATGTACGCTTTTACATAATTTTCAGTTCATAGCCTCGTGCCCTCAAATGATTTCACATGTAAAGATCGAGGAAGAAACAACCCTTTAAAGAATATAGCTCAAGTTCGTGTGCAACAAGGATCTTAGACATATTATAGAATTATTAGAAGAATAATGCCATATGTACAAATTGAGGATCATCCTCATGTAATATGGCATGTGATGTGTAGTAAAATAATAAGATCAATTAAATGTGTGAATATGAAACTCATTTTATTACTTTATAATTTAATGTCATGTCACATGGCATCATCCCATTTTGTACATATAGCATTACTCTTCAATTAAAGCTCAAAGAGAATGCTGATATGAAAAAGAGTAACTCGCTTTAACAGCCTGCTAAATAACTGTGACGGCCAAACATCTTTCATTAGGCTTTGCAGCATGTCATATGCTAATATCTCGGTAACTTTGAGATTATTGGAGAACACGTCTCCTCTTAATTGAGGATAAAGGCAAAAAAAGTTACCAACTTGTGCAGTTAAAATTTCATTTCTTTCTCATAAAGCCTATCTCTTACCCAACAACCAAGGGCCAAAATAAGTAAACATATTCTAAGTAGTCTCAATACCTGAATCATTGGCTTAAGCACCTTTCTTCTCTGGACTATTATCAATGTACATTTCTATTTCCATAGTGATATTCTAATTTACTAATAAATGCAATCCATTTTCAGCTCAAATCATTTTAGGTGCACATCCACAATTCATACTTAATTATCCCTGCTACTCAGCAGCAGGAGAGAAAATCCTGATTAATGCTATAGATGGTTACATAAGCAGAACATAGTCACGTAACACGCACTCGTAATACTTTTAAATTACAATCAAAAGACAGATTGTGTAATAAACTACAGAGCGTAAATAGAACAAGTAGCAAATCCAGCCAAATGAACAAATGAAGGGATATATATGTAGGAGAGAAAGCACAAATGAAGGGGATATATATAGGAGAGAGCACAAATGAACAACACATTAAAAACAAAATCGAAGGAAGAAAACTATTTTATTCCTTATTCTTTACCATGAAAACTCTGCATAATTCGTCGTCTTGACAATTACACTGCAAAAAGATAATGTCCATATTCATAATGATATTTTTGGAGTTTATGAACTTCGATAAATTTATAATCTGATCCTGGGTACTGATGCTTCCCATCCCCATACTTGTCTCCTGTCTCTAAGAATCCAATGATTTTCACATTGTCTTCAGCTTAGCTCTCAATTCAATTAACCACTAATTGTGACATGGAGAGGAGCTAGCATGACTACTTTGCAGACGCTGCACTATATACAAAACCGCAAGCAAGCACACTACAATGAAGAAACATGACCGGCTAAGCAAGACTCTCTGCAGAAGTACATACAACGATTGAAATCCGAGGCCTGATTGAGCTATTCGTGCATTGTATTCTCTTGTAAAATCTATGATGATGATACCGTTCCAAAATCATGGTACTGGAGCTTCCCACGTGAGCTCTGTTTTTAATGACACATTTATCAGAACCAATAATAGTTCAAATACAAATGTTCAACCAAAGATGCACAACTAGAGATCAGAGCCTAAAAAAATGTAGCATTGAATGTAGATCATACTGCATGGATAGGACAACGAAACTAGAACCCTTCTAAAATATCACAAACTATCAACACAATTCATATCGTCTTTCATTCTCTAATAAAACTAAATGTAAAAGTGAAACACATTTTTCCCAGGTGTAATCAAAAGAGGAATACTTCTATGAGAAATTTGCACTAGAACATACAAAAACTTATCCATATAGCAATTTCTTAAGAAAGCACCAGGAAAGAATGATATTCTTGTGAAGACTATTCTAGATTGAGGTGTCTTTTGGCATCTCATTGTTAGTAGCGTAAAAAGAGCTGAAAGAGGTGAAGCATGGAAACAGGATGGCAGTCATTGCCCAAACGAGTTTCTCAATTAGACCTTTAATTACCCAGTTTATATGCTGTGATTACTTGAACTCAAATGCATTAAATAAGTGCTATTTGCAACCTAAAGAAACCAAGTCCGGTCAAAAATTTTCTAGACAACTAAATCCAACTTGTTAGAATATATTTCAAAGAAGTCCATTAGGCAAAAAATATGTTTCTACTATTCTAATGTACTTTGAAAGTTCAACTAATGATAGAAAAAGAGGGCAGAGCTTTTTTACTTTTCTCATATTGTCAAAGAGTTGTAGATGGTTTTATGTGATGTCAAAAATTTGAAAAATAATTAGCAAACAAAGTTTGTGCACTTCTTTGCTTCTAGGTTTTTTTGTATGGAGTGGAGTGTTACACAGAACAACATGGGGGAGCCACTCAAGGTGGGCCTTGGCCCCAACTCCGTGACCCTTACTAACACAAGGCACAAGGCCTTTCCTCCCTTCCAACCCACCTAACATTCACTATCCTTCCATCTCTACTCCTCCTTTACCGCAAGAAGTTAACCATTTCAACCACAATGAAAATAGAACATCAACCATGTCCTCTGCAAATACTTTGAAAAAGTCATTTGCTATTTCTTGGAGCAACCTATATCTTCTTCTGCCGTTGACCAATCCGGCCTTGCAAGCAGCCACCTGTTTTAGAGGTGAACCAACCCTAACTCTGTCCAACGAAGAACTAGCAACCCTTTCACATCCATCTAAATTTGCTATTATTGGTAAATTACCCCCACAGGAAATCCCATTGGGGAAGGTGAAGTCAGTTTTGGATTCATTTGATTTTAAAGGTGCTTTTATGAGTTCAATTGATTCAAAGAACATTGTTATAAGATTTTCAGAGGAGGCAGATTATTTTAGGATCTTTTTGAAACCTCTTTGGTTCGTCCATCAATCAACCAAGAGAGTCCTTATGCGGAGTAGCAATTTCCACCCTTTTACTGAACCTTCTGTTGTGCCTGTTTGGGTTGCATAACCACTTCTGCCACTGGTTTACTTCAACAAAACATTCTTTTTCCCGTCGTTGCCATTATAATTATCCACTACAGTAAGATGATGCTCCTGTCAACAGGAAGAGGCCCAGTGTTTCAGGAATTTGAGCTTTGAAGAATCCCCTTATACCTAGGATTCACAGGATTGTTTCTGGCAGCAGATTGTGTATGAAAAATTGCCAAAATATTGATGTGCATGAAAAATTGCCAAAATATTGATCTGTTTGATCTCATTTAAGCAATAATGGTCAGGATTGTCTAGTGGATTTTGTTCCACATACTGCTCTTAAGGTTTCAGCAAAGGTATCTTTCGACCCTCCAACTCCTGTTCAAACCTCTATCTGCTAGATTAGTATCGTTCCCTACTCTCTAGCGACAAGGTTGAGTTCCAACAGCCTCAGTCTCTCAGGTTCAAGCTCCTCTGCTCCTGCTACTCGTTTGTATTCTCCTGCCTTTGTTCCATTGCTTCTAAACCGCTATGTGGTGAGTACATTGTCTACCTCTTGTCAGCCTGGGATCCACCTGTTGCTTCTCATCAGCATTGCCTCCCTTGAAAAGATTTTGTAACAACTCTTTGCTCCTAATCATATAGCTAGCAAAATTCTTCATGCTCATGTAATTACACACTGCAGAACTCAACAAGGGGTTACGAGAAAAGAAAGTCCCTTCTAAGTAAGAGGGCCAGTATCGCTAAGCCTAAATAAAAGACTAAGGCTTTTAGCGAGTCTCAGCTCAATAATTCTACCACTAGTAACTGGGCAAACATCTCATTTTTTTTCTCTAATATACGCATTCAAACTAGATTATTAGCAAGCTCCGCATTAACTCCTATCAAATTTGGAAAAGAAAACCAAAGGACAGATATGATCAAGAAATCAAGAAAAAAAATATGTTAAACAACTAACAAGTAACACAATCTATAGGTGATGAACATTGTAAATTAAATAAGTTAAGAAGTTACAAGCATTTGAAAGAGCATTCAAAAATGGTAGTAGATGACCTTAGGCACAGATTGGGTAATATGTGTATCATACTGAAGATCTGGAAGCTGCACAGCCAAACAATCCCTTGGAGTCTCAAAAGAAGACAATGAAAACTGCTTTGAAACCACTCCCACATCAAAGTAAATTATCCCCGAGCTCGGAATATCTACCCGAATTTCTTTAACAGGGAACCACAAGAACAAATCCTGCGCAGAAATCCCGGATAGCTCGTCGATCTGCCCGTAACTCAATATACCCGAGACATTCCTATCATACTGCAGTTCATTTTCAAACTTGGCAATGCAAGCGCGATCCAAGTGAACCTCAAATTTCCCAGAATTATCCAAAACAAAGTCCTTCACGCCTTTCGGTAACAATCCCATCGGAAGCCCATGAAGCTTAAGCACTTCGTATATCGATGATGAATTTCCGGCTCCATCATATGCAGCTGATGCTATGAAAAACAGAGTAGAAAATAAGATCAAAAAATTGCTAAACGGAACCATGATTCTACTAATGTTATAGCATGTAAAAAAAATTGTGGGTTTGGTTTTATGGTAAAATGGAGGAGTGTAAAAATGAGAGCACAATACACACAGAGATGGGATTATGAGAGGGTTGAAGAAGATGAAGACGATGCCAGCAAGATTCCAGAGGTGATTTAGGAAAATAATCAATTATTGGTGGAAACAGCGGGACCCGTTTACTGTATTACACTTGTCTACAATCGACCATTCTGGTGTTGGCTGGACTTGCCAATGGGGATTCAAATAGTGAGGATATAAGTGTAATTTTCATTTCTGTTTGACACGTGTCAGACAAAGGATAGTGTAAGAATGTGCGTAATGAAGGAGCGCGGGCCCCATCAGCGGCTGGTGATATGCATGAAGACTGAGCGATAAGTACGATAAAGAGGGGACTTGACACGGAGGGTGCGAGTGGAAAAGGAAAAATTGTATCATTAGTCACCAACTTATTACTCTAGTAACAAATTGGTCCCTAGCATTTAAAGGAAACTAATCCAATGTGATTTCTTGATGAGTTTTCAAACAAAAATTAAAGTAACTTCTCCAAGAAGCTCTCTACAGTATGTCAAAGCAAAAACAAAAATTATATTAAGATCCCGTTTGGTACCCATTTTCGTAAGAATGAGAACAAAAATGTAGCAGTTACGAGACTCACACAAGGGATTAAAAGTCAAATATAGTGGTTTGATGTGATAGATAACGGTTATATTTTTTATTTTTGTGGCCAAAAAATGAAAATCAAACAGGACATAAAAGAGCTCTAAGTGTGCTTAGCACATTTCAAGGTAGTAATGGGGTTCGCAATTTCAATAAATAAAAATACATCCAACTCATTAACAGTGAATCAAGACATTAGTGTAATCAAGATTGATGTTAATCAGTAAAAATATTAAATAGCGTTACTCATCTAAATTTAGTACCAATTTGTTATTGGACCAATTGTTTAGTGGTTAAAAATGCAATTTTCCCAAGTGGAAATTTTAGAGTCGAAGGATCGAAGAAAAGGTTTGTAAGCATTTTGAAGAGGAGCAAAATGCAATAAAAATCCAAAAGTCTACGTTGGTATACCTATTTGTTTACATATTTGGAGAAACTAACATGTGAAGATGAGGCTGGATGGATTTTGTTCTTGTGATAATTATGAACATAAATTTTGTCTCACTAAATTATTGTTATTATTTTTCTTTATTTATTCTAATGATGCATCGTGGCCAAATAGTAGCAATTGTGGGGGGATATAAGATATATTACATGTGATATTAAGCATGGGAAGCAAGTGCAATTATTGGTTTGAGTGTTTAGATGGTCAAGCCGGCCAACGATACACTAAGATTTATTTGGTACCATTTAGGTAGAAACTTTTCTTGAAAATGATTTTAGTAGTACAACGTTGTATAACATAGAAAAAACAAACAAACAAATTAATTAATTTGATAAAAATTTCTTAGAATAAGTTCGTGTTCGATTTTGTTGGAAATCAGATTTTTGTAGCAGAATCCTTTACTTTCAAAATTGGAATTTTTAAATAAAAAATAGTGGTAAAAAAAGAAGAAGAAGAAGAAGCAACAGTAGCAAGTGTTGCACTAATACACACCCCTACGTATACATTTAAAAAAAATGAAAAAAAAAACTCTTGTTTGATTCCCATTTTTACAAGAATGATAATGAAAAATATAACTGTTACGAGATTCACAAAAGAGAGGACGAGTCAAATATGATAGCTGAATGTGATAGATAACGATCATATTTTTTATTTTTGTGACAAAAGAATGGGAAACAAATGAGGCGTACGTGTACCCCCTCAATAGGCATGTCTAAAGACTATAATATCTTTGTTACTAGCGTGAGTGTATCAATAAAATTATGCATCAAATTAAAAATTCAAAGAGGGACAAAATCTTCTTTGTTAAAAGCAGAAGCCCAAATGTGATGAAATGTTATCTCTTGTGTCATAATTTGGGTGTCAGAATATTATAAAATGCCAATGGAACCCATATAACTGCTAATGAAAAGCAATTCTTGGCCATAAAAACAAAATAAAAATAAAAAAATTAGACAGAGTCACACAGCTAAGTTTAATTTGTTATCATTAACGTAGATCTTCATGGTAAATTAAATTTAAAATTCTCAATTGACAAAACAGCAAAGCATTGTGACACAGAGTTTTTGATGGGTTCGTATCAAATTGAATCCAAATTAATATTATGTTCTCTCATAAAAAAATAGCAAAAAATGACAGATGCAACACTTTTGCATCTACAAGGGATTTTTATTCAAGAAAAACTTGCATTGTATGTCCCTAATCTTTTGAACGAGTTTCAAGTGAATATTCCATTAATAAAAAGGAAAAAAAATGATTCTCGAATTTTAATTAGTGCTGCACCGTTAGTCTTGTTGAACAGATTCCGGCGTAGTTATATTAGAAGTGCACATGCAATGATGCAAAGCAAAAAAAAGTTTAATTTTAGTAAGGAATAAACAAGGAAGGAGAGAAAGAGGTGAAACTAAAAAACAAAGAAAAGGGGAAAAATACAAAATCTTTATTTACTTCCACCCCTCGTTAATTGATAATACACTTCCCGTGGATTATCCATGATTAATAAAATATTTGATTACTTATAAAAAAAAAAAATAATAATAAAAAAAATCTATTTGTAAGTATACTTTTCAAGCTTTCTTAAAATTCTCACTTGCTAATCAATTATGCTTCATGTACCAACATCTCGGGTATATTCGCGAATGCCTAACTTAGGACCAGAATTCATCGAGCAATTATTTGGCAAGCTTTGGGTACGATCCTGGCAAGATCAAGGACACTGTACAAGATTGCGAGGTTATGTTGAATAGTCAACTTGCAGCAATGATACTCCCACAATATGAAGCATCAAACAAGCTCAAGTTCTTGCCCTCATCCTTTGCCTTTCACCATTCGATTTCTTGCCCTCATCCTTTGCCTTTCAACACTAACTAAACATTTAATATTAACTTTTATTTGTATAAATTGGGGATTAACTTACAACTCGATAAAAAGATTGGAGACCAACTTCGCAATTTCCCCCTTAAAACTTGGAACCCAGTTATGACCATTTTTGTCCTGTTATTATTTTAAAGAAAGTGCTCTTTCACAACCCCGTTAAGAATCCGAATCTTGATTCCGGGTTGTTGGAAGAGAGTTGAGGGTGGCACCCACTTTCATAACATACACCCAAATGTGGGGATGTTTTGGTCTTCAAAAGTTCATAAACTTTCAAAACAAAACCTGATTGTTTAATAATTCTTTGCTTAAAAATTGTCCATAGTTAATCTATGGCAAACGTTTTTTCTGTCAAAAATGTTGCTTCTAGCAAGGTTTAATCATCAAATTAAGATCCCTTTTTGTCTCTTTTTATGATGATTAGAAGTTATATCAACTAGCATGCCAGAGTTATGTTTTCCGTACAAATTCGAAATGATTTTTATGCGAGATGACATTAAACCCCATTAAAAAAAATTCAATTTTTTTTAACTCGCATATTTTTTCAATAAAATAATTTTATACATCAACCCAAAATTTTTCTTTACTTTTTAATCGTACATTTTTTTAAAAATCAGTATTGTAGAATCTATTCTTCCAAAAGAAGGTTCTCAAACAAACCCTGAATGATCGTGCCGAGGAAATTGAATTACGTGTCAACAGACTCAACACATTTAATTGATCTTATTATTTCACTTCACATCACTCTAATTTGTACATATAACATTATCAGCATGCCAAGGGTCTGGTCCATATGGATGGTTGGCTTCATTGATAAGTGATAACACCACGTTTTTTGTATTTAGTCCATACATTGAAAGGTACCCATTGATATATACAGCATAATTAATGCATATGAAAGTATTAGTTTGAAATATTAGTTCTTAGCCACAAAGAAAAAATGATTATTCATGTTGAGTTTTTGTATTAGGTTTTAAGTTATAAATAAGCTTACAAGATATAATTTCTTCTCCCATAAGTTATTATATATCATTTCAATTGATGTATTGTTAAGAGATGAATGCAAGTATCCAACATCAAATAATATCATTATCTACCATATAGATGTTTAAGTTACTCTTTTGTTATAAATTTGATTTCTTACGATGTGGGAATTATCCCTTAACAAAATCACCATGGGTAAGAGGAGCAAGAAGGAAGTCAATTGGTGGAAATCATGAAGGTGCGGAGAAGGCCGTTATTATTATTATTATTTTTTTATTTTTTATTTTTTATTTTTTTTCGAATCTGGTATATGTATAAAAAACGGGTGCCAAAATTGATACTGATGACATTTGGCAACAATCTATCAACTAATAGATAAAAAAAAAAAAAAAAAAAAAAA